AACTGTCATAAATGCATGTCAGTTGCCAAGCATCCAAATTTTGTGACCATGGGGATGCTAGAATCGTTGTAAGTGGCCATAACTGTTGTAAGTCACTTTTTTCAGTGTCGCTGCCAAAAGCTTTGACAGTGAGTGAATGACTGCCCCACAGTCCCCCTGATTGATTGACTCTCCCGAGTCATAGTCCAATACTGTACCATAAACAGTGCCCCATGTTGGTTCTTAAGCTGGGATGCAGTAATACTATTCCCAACAAATACAATCAAGTCTGATAAAATTGTAATCTAAACATATCAGGAATATGCATGATTGAAAGAAAACGTGTATTTTGGTGAATGGCTCACTTATATTCATTACAGCTTAATTCTCAGGGGTGTCCAGATGAAAATACTGGAAAATTTACTTCTATTTTTTGGTTTCACAACTATTAAGGATTTTCCATGGATAGCAAAATAGCACTTGTAAGATAATTTGACTTACCCAGCCAAACAGTTAGTTCAGGGAAAGGTTTTTGTCCCATCCACATAGTTTTAGCTGAACTTTTGCTAGTTTATGCCTATTCTTCCTGTTTTTGTCCATTATCTGACATACAGCTATTTGAACTTCCTTAATTAAAGTGGTAGGACAATGGCTAAAATGTAATTGTTGTGTAGACGAAAACAAGGTAGAAAAACAGGTGTGAAATAATTAGATAAATGGGTGATAAAGCATCAATCATTGACTCAACTTCCTTGACCCTAAGGGCCCCATACTTATATGGTATATTAAATTGGCAACTTACTTAAGACTGGTTACTTAAGATGCGGCCTTTGAAAATCTAATGAGCTCTTAGATGGCAACAAAGAGATGGGGGGAAAATCAAATTTTGGCTGCCGGTTAGTGACTCTCTGGATTTTAGCTGCCCTTATTTAGTAGCTATGGTCTCCAGGACTGCATTCCAGAAGAGGATAGAGCAATAGCTATTTTATTTGAGAGTTTGGGGACTTTTAAGGAGAAATATATATTTAGCATTTACAAATGCCTGTTTTGCTCTTATGCCTTGCTAGCACCATTCCAAAACAGCCCCAGAATGTGTGCTCCTCCCATTCTAGAGAAACGCTGGAGGCTGCAAAAGTTATACTGATTCACAAAATCCATATGTTTACATTAAACTACTCTTGCAAAGATTGCTTTTATTGGCAGCATGGGAGAGCTTATCTTCCTGTACTTTACTTGGGAAGCAAGGGAGGATTGCAGATCTGCAACTCCAAATTTATTTCCTGGAAGCCTGAGTCCCTATAAGCCTTTAATTGCCAGGTATATTCTGCTTAAGGATATTTTGCTTGAAGTTATTAATGAAGGATAAAATTTCATTTATGACACAAGAAGCTTTATATATGACATTGCTTAAGTGTATTAACTATGCAATTGTTTAGAATTATATCCATGTTTGTGCATGATTACAGCATAGAAACCGCTTTGGTCGCATTGACCGATGATCTCTGGAGAGCCAGAGATGGAGG